AAATATTTTTACCAACAAAAAAAAGTTCATAAAGAATTAAAAAAGAAAAGTGTTTACAGGAATTAAAAAAGAAGCAGCCGAGAAACCACGTGGGAACAGGATGGAGGAACCATCGGTTTTTTTACCCTCTTTCAGTACGGGGCATGGGTGCTGTCGCAACAGGTCCAAAAACCTCCTTCTCTTACAGGAAGAAAAAATAAAAAAGTGATTTTTGTGGGAATTCTTGCTACAAGCAGAGCAAACAAAAATGGATCAGAACTGGCAGCTCCGGGTATATTCTACTTCAAACTCGAACAAATTCCTGACATTATTATCTTTTAACTTGTTGTAATGGTCCTTTTTTACCATTATCACATCTCCACATTGTGAGGAGGACTTAGGAGCAGGGCTGCGTTCCAATATTTGTGCTTTAATCATAGCCGGAAAATAAAACAGGAAGAAACCCTGTGAAAGGTGGCCATCAATCTAGGGGCCCTTAGTCAACATAAACTTTTGTCTCACAGCTATGGGAAAGAGAAGAGAGGATAAAAAATGAGCCAGCCAGCAAATACCAAGATGACTCAAGGGCTCACCAAAAGCCAGTGTCTCGTTAGCCCCCTCAGCTCCCTTTTAGCCGCCCCCAGTTGTGCCCTATGTGAAGCTGTGACTTGTGAGTTCTGGCCCTTTCCGTTTTTTTACAGTTACGTGACCCTCTCTCAACCTTTTCCCTCTTGTTCTCTGTCTCTCTCTCTCTCTCATTTGGTGCTCGAAAACCCGCCTCGTGGTTCTGTTCACTGTTCGAGTTCCCAGGCGCCACTTCACGGACAAGAAAATAGCCGCCCCCCAGTTTTATTGGCTTCGCTGTTCGGATCCTTTTTAACCATGAGTGATCTATCACTGTCACAACTGTAGCAATCATTGCTCTAGTGCAAATCCCAAGAGTAATCCTCCGGATATTTTATCGAATGACTAATCTAACCCTTCAAACAAGTTGGTTAATGGAGTCAATAATCTGAGTTGAGAAATTAGGTTCGACCATCACTGTAGTTTTGTTTTTGCTAATATTATATAAATATTTACTCCATAGCTCATGAACAAATTACAGCTAGATTTTGATCATCTTTTCAAGTGTAGAGAGGTTGCGATTCGCAAACACGCATTTTCAATTATGGAAAATATTGCTTGTGAGAGCAAAAATCATACGTTAGAGCTACGACAATTCTACAACCGCGCAATTAAGTATATGATGAGTACAATGTTTGCTTTCACGAGTCAATGTCATATGTTGTGACGTTTGTCCTCGAGATATGAGAAGGACCGAGCCGGCGGACGTGTCTGTTTAAGATTTTTTTTTTCCCCGAAGAAATCTAGTGATAGCCTATGCATTTTATTCACTCTAATTATTGATAGGTGTATTTATACTTGTATAACATCAAATGAATTTAATTCAATAGATTGTTTTTTATAATAGTGAAATAGCTTCATCCTCAAAGTTGCATAAATATATTTTTTAAAATATTTTTACATCATGGAATTTCAATCAATTCAATTCCTACTTCAATGATATCATATATTACATTTTAAGACAGAATATTCCTCGCTGAATTTAATATGAACAAGTCAATATATAACCATTACCATACCCTTATTAAAAGTAGCTTTGGTTTCTATGCTTAGCCACAAGCAAATTATTTTACATGTAAAAAATAATATTTAGTTATTGAAATAAAATATAAAAAATATAAAAAATTGATAAACTTATAATAATGTCAATTAAGGCTAAACCAACATGTAATATCTCTTTAAATTCATAACTTGTGTTATATAACTACAATAACCTAATAAAAAAATAAAAAATTATAATTTTTTTATAAAATAATATATGTTAACTTCCTAAACATATAATTCGAGTTATTAGACTTAAAATATCTAATTTAAAAAAAAATCATAAAGATTGACTTTCAATCAATTAAATATCAAATAATGACATTAAAAAAATGAATATATACATGTAAAAGAATTTTTTTAAAAAAATAATAATTTAAATAATAAGAATCAAGATTATTATAACTACTATTATTAATAAGTGATATCATCACTATTATCATTGCTGCTACTGCTATTATTATTAAAATTGTTATTATTATTGTTCATCATAAGTGTCATTACTATTATCATCCAATTATTGCTTGCATATCATTAACAATAAAAAAAATAGCATTCATATTATTATTATTATTATTATCACAATTGTTATTAGTATTATCATCATTATCGTTGTTGTTGTTGTCATTTTCATCACTAATACTATTATTAGTATTTTTATTATCATAAATATTCTCTTTTTTTCTTATTGTTGTTGTTGTTATAGCTAATATTTTTATTATTATAGTCATTGTCATTAAAATTATTATTATCGTCATTACTGTTATTACTACTATTGTTACTATCATTATCATTACTATTGATATTATTATTGGTATTATCATCACCATCATTATTATCACTGTCACCATTGTAATTATTATTATCATTATTTTTATTATCATCATAAAAAAATATTATTACTATCACTGTTATCAATATTAGTATTATTTTTAGTGTCATTATTGTTGTTACTATTATTGTTTTTGTTATTATTAGTACAATTATTACTATCATTACTGCTATTATTACTGTTGTTATTATTGTTATTGTTATTATAACTAACATTACTATTATTATTTTTTTATTTGCATTAACATCAACATCATCATTATTTTTATTATTATTACTATCACAGTTATAATTATTATCATTGTTACTATTATTTTTTGTATTACCACAAACACCACTATTATCATTATTATTACTATTATTATAATTACTACTACTATTACTATTACAATCATAATCATTATGGAAAAAATAAAAAAAAAACTTGAACTTGACATGAAGAATAAAATTAAAAACTATAAATATTTTGATAAAAGGGCCAATGAAAACAACAAGAGAATAAAACACGAGGGACCAAATTAAAATCATCACTATTATCACTTAAAAAACAAAAAAAAAAACTTGACCTAAATGATAAAATTAAAAGTTATAAAAACATTAACACAAGAGTAAAGGAAAATAATGAAAAATTAAAAGTAAAATGACTAAATAAAAAAATATTATATATATACAAATTAGAAATCAAAAGGGTAAATTTAATACAAATGAAACTCTAACAAAAAGGAAAATGACAAAAATAAAAGAATTAAAACTAAAAAAATTAAATCTAAAATATTAATAACAATGACGACCATAATACATGTTTAGGGATAGGAGAGAGAAATAAAAGGTAAGAAAAGAAGAGAGAAAGTCGTCGATGATAAACCAATTTTATTTGAACGATATATGCTATCTACAATGAAAAAAAAGATAAAAAAGAATAAAATTATACGTCAAATGTCTATTTTTAACTATTAAAAATAATCGTATTTGCTGCTCAAAGTGTGTTGTAACTCTCATGTGCTAATAGCTTTTTAAAATTTAAAGATATTATTTAAATGATAAATCATACTGCTATCCTCAATCAAACCTACAAATAACTAAAAAAAACCCTAGCCTAAAAGATCTTAATACCCCAATTACTTAAATTTACTAGATTAAAAAATGCATATATAATTTTACTATTTATAGAAAACACTTGCCCGCTTGTGTTGATGTTTTTACCCTTAAGGATATTTTTGTGTATTTAACTATTTATAAAATATAAATAAACTAAAATACTTCCAAACAAATGTATAATTATTAATATGCCTTGTGAAAATACAAAAACACTTGTAATTTCAAGGCAAACCTTTTTTTTAAGGTTATAAATGTCACTTTACTACTGCAGAGGATAATAAATTATGTCTATGGCAAAAGGGAATCCCTTTTCCTTTTAATTGGTTTTTTTTAACAACAGGAATTAAAATTTTATACACGCATTAACATATGAATGGGAGATGTATATATGTCTTTTTAGAGTTAAAAAATTATTTGATACCGTAATAATTTCTGTTTTTTATCTAATTATATAGATATTAACTCAATATATCCAAATACAATTTCAAACACAAAAATAAAACGAAAATGAAGGAAATTAATAAATCTTGCCAGAATTAAAAATTACTTGATATTGTAATAATTTCTGTTTTTTATCTAATTACATAGATATTAACTCAATATATCCAAATACAATTTCAAACACAAAAATAAAACGAAAATGAAGGAAATTAATAAATCTTGCCAGAATTAAAAATTACTTGATATTGTAATAATTTCTGTTTTTTTACCTAATTACATAGATATTAACTGGATAACTTTTGTTTTTTTAATTAATCTTATATATAATTGAGTTTCAAACTTTAATTTTACAAAAGCTCAAATAATTTTGTTTTTATTTTACATACAAAGAATTATCTCATTATAATTTTAACTAAATATATTATTTTTTAAAATTATAACTAAAAATAATTTTTTAAATTATAAGTATAAAAACCAGCTGGATGCGAAACAAAAAAAGAAGTGAATGATATTTTTTAACAGCTATTGTCACCTGTTATATGTGTGGCTCTAGCCAAACCGTGGTCTCCACGTCCCATGTCAACCTCTGGAGCCACAGCTAACACTGATCCTTATAGCCGACACCATCAAATTTATTTTTCCATTTTCTCACTAAAAAACTTTATGTATAACTCACTATCTTTCATGTTTTTTTTGTGGTAAAAACAACGTTTTTAAGGTTTTTTTAATTTTTTTTGTTTTGTATTGTTTGGATAGGTTGATATTACAAATAATTTTAAAAAATTAAAAAATATTATTTTAATATATTTTTTAATAAAAATATTTTTAAAAATAAACATGATAATAAAAAACAGTAAAATAGCAACAACAATAAAGTCACTGTCTACGAACGTAATCATGGGCCCCCCTCTTTTCTTTTTGTTTCCTTCGACACTTTTCTCCTTCAAACCTCCAACCACAACGAGGCCTATAAAGTCCTAACCAAATGCAACTTCATTCTCACCCTGAAACCAAACAGAGGGATCACAGGGAGAAGTAAAGGAAGAAAAGTTTTAATAAAAACCTTTATTTCTTTTCATTTTCTTTTACGTATCTTTCCTAATTTATTAGGCGATACTAATGGGAGCCTCAGTCGACAACCGCCAATTCCACCTCGAACCCACTTTAAACAGGGTGGCTCGTCCCTTCAAATCCGTTTCAAACCAACGGCCCGGCTCTCCGGTTCGGACGTTGAACTTCTCGAACCAGGACTTTACTCAGAACAACCAGAAACCAGTTCCAACATTGGAGGAAGAAGAGTCAGAAGACTCTTCAAGTGAAGATGAAGCTGATTATAAGGATCTGATCCGCAAAGGTAACAGTGAATTAGAGCCGTCGATTTTTGATCCGCGAGATGAAGGAACGGCTGATAAGTGGATCGAACGCAACCCTTCCATGGTCCGTCTTACAGGGAAACATCCCTTCAACTCTGAACCGCCATTGGTTCGTCTCACGCACCACGGGTTCATTACACCGGTCCCACTTCACTATGTTCGCAACCATGGTCCTGTTCCAATGGCCACGTGGCAAGACTGGACTGTCGAGGTTTGTGGTTTGGTTAAGAGGCCAGCCCGTTTCACCATGGAGCAGCTAGTCAACGAATTCCCAGCTCGTGAACTCCCTGTCACTCTAGTTTGCGCAGGTAACAGACGCAAAGAGCAGAACATGGTGAAACAGACAATTGGGTTCAACTGGGGTGCTGCGGGGTTGTCTACTTCAGTGTGGCGTGGCGTGCCATTGCATTTGCTGCTCAAGAAGTGTGGGATCTACAGCCGTAAAAATGGAGCCCTCAATGTTTGTTTCGAAGGTGCTGAGGAACTGCCAGGTGGCGGTGGATCAAAGTACGGGACCAGCATCCAGAAAGAGCTTGCTTTGGATCCATCTCGTGATATTATTTTAGCCTATATGCAAAACGGTGAGCTCTTGGCGCCGGACCATGGGTTTCCGGTGAGGATGATCATACCAGGTTTCATTGGCGGGCGCATGGTAAAATGGTTGAAGAGAATAATTGTTACCACTAAAGAATCAGATAGTTACTATCACTACATGGACAACAGAGTGCTGCCCTCGCATGTCGATGCAGAGCTAGCTAATGCCGAAGGTACGTAACATGATATGATATGATAATACCATATGTCAATATCAATTTGGAAGTCCATGGTACGTCATGAAATTTTACGGGGCATCTGAATAGCAGTAACAACGATCATGCTACCTTTGTTGTTTTGCAATGTGTAGCCTGGTGGTATAAGACAGAGTATATCATCAATGAGCTGAATATAAATTCCGCGATCACAACGCCTTCTCACGAAGAGATATTGCCAATTAACTCATGGACAACTCAGAGGCCGTTCATGGTGAAGGGCTACGCATATTCTGGTGAGATTTTACTTTACTTTCTTCTTGACAGATAATTCTTTGTTTTTAATTTAATTTAGGGGGTATAAATAAATATATCTGTCGAATTTACATTTTTTTTAGTATGCATCCAGAGAGAATTGAAAGATAATTAGATTATGATTTTAAACCTTTTCTTTTATAATTTTTTTTTTATCGATGAAATTAGAAAATAACATGAACTATATTTTGAATTAGATCAAGTTGGTTTTTTAACGTTTAAAAAATTAAAAAATAATTTTATTATGATCGGAGGCTTTTCTTTTGATATGCATCCAGATATTTGAAAAATAATTTCATTATGATTTTAATTTTTTTTTAATAAGAAAATATGTCAGTGGTGAAAGTTTCTCGTAGCTATTATAAATCAATTAAATATTAGAAAATAATATAAATTATATTTTAAAATCTTATCTAGTAGTTTAAACTATTAATTTTTTAATATGGTATATACCCAGAGAATTAAAAGATATTTTCATTATGATTTTAGACTTTTTTTTTTATATGCATCCAAAGAATTGAAAGATAATTCCATTACGATTTTAGGCCTTTTTTTTTATAAGAAAATCTCTCGTTCGTGGAAGTTCCTTGTATTGTAACGTCAGCTGACTATTAAAAAATATTATTAATTATATTTTAAAATTTTATTTAGTAACTTAAATTATTAGGTTAAATTGGTTATTTAATATAGTATCATAATCTTAATGATTAAGTGATTTAAAGTTCAAATCTAATCACCTTTATTTATTTAATAAAAATTAAGTATAAAGTAATATAAGCTTATATAAATTTTAAATTAAAAAAATTTTCACTTTAAAAAATAAATAAATATATTAAAAAATAATATAAATTATATTTTAAAATCTTATCTAGTAGTTTAAACTATTAATTTTTTAATATGGTATATACCCAGAGAATTAAAAGATATTTTCATTATGATTTTAGACTTTTTCTTTGATACGCATCCAAAGAATTGAAAGATAATTCCATTACGATTTTAGGCCTTTTTTTTTATAAGAAAATCTCTCGTTCGTGGAAGTTCCTTGTAACTATTAGTCAGCTGACTATTAAAAAATATTATTAATTATATTTTAAAATTTTATTTAGTAACTTAAATTATTAGGTTAAATTGGTTATTTAATATAGTATCATAATCTTAATGATTAAGTGATTTAAAGTTCAAATCTAATCACCTTTATTTATTTAATAAAAATTAAGTATAAAGTAATATAAGCTTATATAAATTTTAAATTAAAAAAATTTTCACTTTAAAAAATAAATAAATATATTAAAAAATATTATAAATTATATTTTAAAATTTTATTTATTAATTTAAATTATTAAATTAAAATAGTTTCTCAAAACCGTCGTAAATTCGTATATGCCTCTCCACTTTTAGAACTTAAGAAGTGTTCTTGTACTGAAAGTAATCTTCTTGTCTCACTTGCAATTTTTTGTAAATTAAGGCGGCGGTAAGAAAGTGACGCGTGCTGAGGTGACTCTGGACGGTGGAGAAACGTGGCGGGTCTGTAACTTGGACCACCCAGAGAAGCCCAACAAGTATGGCAAATACTGGTGTTGGTGCTTCTGGTCCCTGGAGGTGGAGATACTGGAGCTACTTGGAGCCAAGGAGATTGCAGTCCGGGCCTGGGATGAAACCCTTAACACCCAGCCGGAGAAGCTCAATTGGAATGTCATGGTATGTATGTATGCATGCATGTCCGATCAACTTGTGTTCTTGAACTTTCAAACGCATCCACCTGTAATTATGTGAATCTGGTCAAAATCAAAATTGTCAACATTTAGTTAAATAATGTGTCAATTGAAAACTTGAATTTCCTACGAAAGCGACATAATTCTCTAGTTGGTGCCTTTAGCTTGAATTTCTGACGTACAGCGAACAAAGCCGACAGCTCCAGAAATTAAATTGTGGGGTGGCGTGTTCTTGAGCTCACCGGTTATTTTCATGAGAGAATAGGATATCTCCCTTTATACAAACATCTAGGCTGAATTGTCAACGTGATTTTATTTTATTTTTTTTGCTCTTTTGAACTCTTCTTATAAAAAAATATTTGCTGCTTGAATATTAGCTAAACTAAAGAATATAAGATTAAATTATTTATACTCAGTTACCATCTTAGATGTTAGCTCTTTTCTCTTTAAGAGCAGGTGCAAGAAGTCCTCCGGACAAGGGCTTATATGAAATTGAATATTAATGACAAATACTTTTACGAAGGTTAAAAATCGATTTATATTGTCACGGATATTCATTAATTGGCTTGCAGTGCATTACAAACATAAGCTTAGCCTAATGTGTATTTAAACATGGTGCCGTTATGATGAACAGGGAATGATGAACAACTGCTGGTTCCGGGTTAAAACAAATGTCTGCAAACGTCACAAGGGTGAGATTGGAATCGTGTTCGAGCACCCCACCGTTCCGGGCAACCAGTCCGGTGGGTGGATGGCTAAGGAAAGGCACCTAGAGAATTCATCAGAGAATATCCGAACTCTGAAGAAAAGCGTTTCAACACCCTTCATGAACACTTCATCAAGAGCTTTTTCCATGGCTGAAGTGAAAAAACATAAGTCAGCTGAATCGGCATGGATAATTGTTCACGGTCATGTCTATGATTGCACTCGCTTCCTTAAAGACCATCCCGGTGGCACCGATAGCATTTTAATCAATGCCGGTACTGATTGCACTGAAGAATTCGATGCCATACACTCTGATAAAGCCAAGAAGATGCTTGAGGGTTATCGGATTGGAGAATTGATCAGCTCAACCGCTTACACATCTGACTCGAACGCGTCTTCGCCTAATAGCTCAATGCATGGTGCATTAAATATAGCACAGATAATTTTGGCTCCTATCAAAGAAATTGCCCCAGCAAGAAATGTTGCTCTCGTCCCGCGTGAAAAAATCCAATGCAAGCTAGTGAAGAAGGAAATTCTCTCTCATGATGTGCGTCTTTTTCGATTTGCCTTGCCATCAGAGGATCAAGTACTGGGGTTGCCAGTAGGGAAGCACATATTTTTATCCGCTACCATTGATGATAAGCTGTGCATGCGAGCTTATACGCCAAGCAGCACCATTGATGCGGTGGGGTTTTTTGATCTTGTGATTAAAGTTTATTTTAAAGGCGTGCATCCAAAGTTCCCTAATGGAGGGCAGATGTCACAGTACCTTGACTCGTTATCGCTGGGGTCTGTGGTAGACGTGAAGGGTCCATTGGGTCACATTGAATATGCTGGTCGCGGCAACTTTATGGTTCATGGCAAACCCAAGTTTGCAAAGAAACTGGCTATGTTAGCGGGTGGTACAGGTATCACACCGATTTATCAAGTGATTCAAGCTATTTTGAAAGACCCAGAAGACGAAACTGAGATGTACGTGGTGTATGCAAACCGCACCGAGGACGATATTCTGCTGAGGGACGAGCTTGATTCTTGGGTGAAGGAACACGAGAGATTAAAGGTGTGGTATGTGGTTCAAGAGTCCATTAAGGAAGGCTGGCTGTACAGTACTGGGTTCGTTACAGAGAGCATCCTGCGCGAGCATGTTCCGGAAGGATCAAGTGATACTCTGGCTCTGGCTTGTGGTCCTCCGCCGATGATTCAATTTGCTGTGCAGCCAAATTTAGAGAAAATGAATTACGATATCAAGAATTCCTTACTAGTTTTCTAGAAAAGAGAGAAGGGGTGTCTTTAAAATAATATGAAATTATACGTACATAATAGCATGGTTTGTTACCTGGTTAATCCTTTCACTTGTAAAAGAAATGAGGGCTATTTTCCATGTATTATCATCAAGTTGAAGCTTAATTGCTATGTGTATAGAGCACTTCTCCGTGGCATAAATCAAAGGTTAATTACCTTACTGCACAAAATTTCTGAGTGAAATAAAAATTATCAATTTAAGTTTTATAAATTTCAGAATTATTAAAAATTTATGTTATTATTAACTATAAAATTCATGAAATTAATGTATATAGATATAAGTTGATGCAAACAACAACTAAAAAAAAAAAAAATTCTCCATGCAAGTTGTTTTTGTTGGATATCAATGTTTTTCAAAATATTCTGAGTTACTGAGCATACCTTGTAATTGTTCTTTTTCACACGTCCTTTTCAGATGCAGAGACATGCTCTGATTAAATCATACAAGTACGTACCGATGTGAGATCATTCTCCTAGCTATCCTAAACAGCACAGTGAAAATGGGAGGTAACCCATGACAACTCGACATGTTAATTTGTCAAGGATGGGATTTACGGTGGCTTTGCAGGAGAATCAATACCAATAAAGCTTCCCTCATCAGCAAAAGGAAATGTTGCATTGATGGTAAAGGAGATGCGCATCTCATTATCATTTATTTATTTTTATCTTTAAAAACAAGGGCTAAAATAGCTCAGCGCACTGGTTGTTGGAATGAATTACTTTAACCCACTAAATCCATTTTCAACCCATTTAAAGCCAAAAATATACAAAAGTCAATCCTAAAACATGTACAAACTAATTTAACAACCCCCCAAAACGACTCAAATAACAAAATCATACCATATAATTTCTCTCTCTATTTAGATTTGTTTTTTTTTTTTTAAATCAAGGCTTGAAACAACCCATACTCATCGGGCTTAACAGCCCGAATGTCCAATATAAACTGGGTATTTTCAAGTTTCCGTGCCAAACAAGAGCGCATCCGCATTGCTGAAGATACTGCTACTGTCTCCAAAATCTGAGGACGAGTTAGCATTGCATATGGCTAGTAATTATGACAAAACTGAAACTAAAAAAATGTTGGAAACATCATTTTTTGCTTTCTAGTTCACAATTACCTAAGCAGCAAGCAAGAAAGAAAGAACGGGCTGGAAGTCGACGTGGTAAGTGCAGTAATTTTTTTTTTCTTTGGAAGGCTAGAAATTCTTTTTGAATGAAAGTGCTAATAATTTTCGTCAGTTTGAAGTTTTGAATCATGTTTCACCAGATCAGGATGCATGCATCAGAAGAACCATTCTAGCAAATACATTAGCAGCAGGAAGGAAAAGACAAGCCAAAAGGAGACCAGATAGTGCTTGAATCTTCAGTCCAAGATGTGCAGGATACATAACGGTGAGAGACTCGTTGAATATAAACGAGGAAAAAGAAAGCATCAATCACGAAAGAAATATATCAACAACGAACCAACACGATCCCAGTTCAAATTACCATGCACGAAAATGATAGTCAATCGTGCACCTAAACAGACCAATTAAATGCTTTAATCCTCATCGGAACTAGTGACCTAACCATAGGCAAGGCCCTCAGACTATCATTCCTAATATTTGTTGGAAACCACACTTATTTGACACCAATGGCATAGCACCACATCAGGGTACATAGGCAACCATCACACATGGCACATGATCGCAGCAGAAAAAAATATAGAGAAACCAATTCGAGATAGTTGATTACCGCCTTTGTAACCCCAATCACGTTCAGTAGCTTCGACCTCTACTACCTCTATACCACCGCCTCCTTGGTCTCTCCAGCAGTATCCTGTGAAAACTGCGTCCAGTTATTGCCGCAGAACCAGGAGGGCCTGGACGGCGCGTCCCATAATCATCCTCATCCAATGAATCATAGTCTAGGTGATATCCATTACGAAAGCGGAAGCCACTACTCTGCCCTCTATCAAACGACCCCAGAGATAAGAAACCATCATCCAATGATGAATCAGAATCAGAATCGTAGTCATTATGAATGCCACGGTACCCCGGCTCAATCACATAATCACCAAGCACCAGTGCCCCAGGTGTTGATGACATAATCGTGCTGATTACATCATTTCTCTCTCTTTCACATTCAAACTTCTTCCATTTTTCTTTGAGTAAAGGATCCACAGCTCGAGGTTGTGCCAATGGGTGCTTTGCCTTAACATGCTTCCTCAGCTGCTTATAAGTTCCAGCAAATGAGCACTTATCCTGCATGCAGGTTCTTTTCTTGGCATTGAGATGCTTACGAGCTGGTTCCACCACTGTCCAACCTTTAACCTGCCCTCGACAAAGTGGACATAAAAGCTCTGGAACCTCTGCCCTCTCATTGGCTGGCTCCATATGCAAAGCGGGTCTTGAATGATCCGTTGAATTGCTTTCTTGCTGCGCCCCTTCTGTAGGAGTTATTTTTGTATAAGCTTTCTTGTATTGTTCAAGACAGTTGGAAAAACGACGACTGGTGGCACACATATATGGACGGCAGCCCTTTTTATAAGAGAAGCAAAGGAGAAGCACTGCGTTGTGAGGATGCTCTAGACAAATAGAGCAGGTAGCACCTTCCCAATCTTTCTTCTCTGAAGTTATTGAATGTTTTTTGTTCAAGTGACAACTTTTAACAGCCTTCCGTGAACAAGATGACAATGCATGTGGTGTCAATCTGTGCTGCCGGGAATCAGCCTTGCATCGCACCTTATTAACTTTCGCCATTTTCAGAATATACCTAAATTGAGAGAGAGAGAGAGAGCTAGCGAGATCAGATAAAAACCATTCATGTGGTATACCTAAATTGAGAGAGAGAGATAGCGAGATCAGATAAAAACCATTCATGTGATTTATGTTACTGCACTTTCATCCAAATACATTTACCCTATGGCATGTGCTTTAGTATTTGTGTTTAATAATTCAGTTTTGTTCTGTGGACCTCGGAATGCACAAGGTAACCACCACTCAACAAAAACAGGTCATTGGAGCAAACATCAACATAGGTAAAAGGAAGCAGAACATGATGCCTCTTGCACATATTTCAATGAAGAATGCTACAGGCACATCATCCACTGAATGCAGAAATATATCAAAATAGATTGGTACTTCATTGAAAACTCAGATCTCAAAGTATTTGGATGTGTCCTCAGTTATTAGTATTTTGTGAATGACCAGCCCCCAAAAACATTGGACAACTTCAATTATTTATATTTTCAAAAAGATCCCCGCTGTAAACATAGGACACCTAGCATATCCATCCACGTTCACTCCTGGCATCTGATTAAAAGCTTTACAAGGAAAGGAAACACAATGAAAATGACTTTAAAATATAAAAGTTAACATTCATTGCAGCAGTTTGTGATAGTGGTGCTGCTGTTTGGCCCCATAAAAATTAAAAGAATCATAAAACACTTCAAGAAGCTAATACACTACAAGGGTCTAACCAAAAGAATTTCTAACAACATATTGGAAACAGAGAGCATGAAAGTAACATTTCCAAAGACATGAAGAAGCTGATTCATCAAACAGCTGGACTTTATTAAAACAACTGGAACAATAATATAAAACAAAAGCATAATCTCAAAATAGCTTGTGCAAAAAACTTACACGCCTTCATAGCCTATTATCACCAATACTAAGGAAAATTATGTTTCTCCTAAGAACATTAACAGATTGTTTGATCTCATGCAGACAGAGTTGAAAAGTAACAGAAGTTTTAAGGTTCAAAATCCACCATTTTTTGCCTTTTTTAATTATATTATATAGGCTAGCACCCTTACCTTAACCTAGATCGGACCTATACTAACCCTTCCCATCCAATATATTGGGTGCCAACAGCTAGCCATATAAACTACCCACGAGACCTTAAATCCCTGACCTCTTATCGAGGTGCTCCCAAAGTTGTCACTGAAACAAATAGCTGTTGGCTTCAAATGCATGTTTACCTGCAAAGAAACTATTTTGAAATACACTTGGAAAACACATGTTAAGTAAAATTCAAAACTGTCATAAATCATGTGATAATTTTTTAATTAATTGAAAAGAAATTAAATCACTTATGACAGGCAATTGTGGATCAATAGGACAAATACCATTTAGATATGGATTTTTAAGAAAAACCACAAATACAATCAAACTGCACCATAATAGCCTGAAGTGGTGAGGTTTCTTATTCTTTTTCTGATTAAAAACAAGAGGAACAAGGACACAGGAGCATGCTTGGTGAAGTTCAAGAACAATAATAACTGGTTCTCCTTTGCAAAACAAGTAACAACATAACCATTGTTAAACTCCATTTCTAACATCAACATTCCAATTAATTGCAGACTATTTAACCAAGATTTAAGTGACTATTGGAAAATGTCTGAGGTCAAGCTTGGCTCACAAATCTGGATAAAAGTGGAGAAAACACATCAAAAGGTTTTGACAAAGAAAAATAAATAAATGAGAAACAGATAAATTTCAAGTTTTACATATCCAGACACTTGCAAATCATAACAGTTAAACAAAATGTATAGGTCAACCAGCAAGAACCTGCTCGACTTGCTTGGAAAATTAAGTCAACATCAAATGCAAGTTTATCATTTGAAATCAACGCTTAAGGGTTTATTTAATTTTTAAAAGATGCCTAAATCATTGAATCATGAATCTTCAATGTCAAACCAATGATCGGTGCATAAGAATAAGACACGATATCTAAGCTTAAATCTAACTTTGGGTTCATAATAAAAATAATATAGCAGTCCAAATGAAACAGGTGATCAAATTATAAACGACTAATCAAAGCTACAGGCATGATCCCAAGAAAATATATTCGGGTTCTGCCAATTCCACAAGATTCAAACGATCGCAGTTAAAATGAAATCGGAATCCAAAACCCTAAAAATGAAAATTGAAATCGGAATCAGACATACCTGAAGGAGAGGTTAAATCAATTAAATAACGATTAGCGGGGGTGGATCGGATATATAAGATTAGTATTTTTAGCGTCGAAGGAGGAGGAGAATTACGGGTGTGGAGGAGGAGAGAGACACCCGTTCTTCGCGGTTACGTACGCCGTCCCTGCTCTGCTGCGTTGGGTTTCTCCACCTATTTATTTATTTAATGTAATGCCGTAATTAGTTCTCAAAATTAATTTATTTCTCCCTGCTTTTCTCTCTCTCTCTCTCCCGCCCCGATTGGTTGTGGTGCCGCTGTCGACATTTTTCCCGCCCCGTGTGATTGGTTGTGGTGCCGCTGTCGACATTTTAACGCTACCATGATATGGCCTTTATCGATCTTCGTATCTACGCTTTTTCGACGTGAGATTGCGTGCCTATGGGTTTGACTTGGGCTGGGCTGGGTTTTAAGTGAGTCTAAATATCTGGCCCTTTTATATTTAAATTTGAATTTTGGGACTTAAAGGGCTGGGCGCTCCCCAAGATAGAAATATTAAAGGAGTGGAAATGATAGTTTCGCTGGCAAGCCCTGTATTAGCTTGTCCGCTGGAAAAGTTTAAATTTATTTAGCAATGCACTGGATTATGGCTCCTATCCGGGTCGGATCGTTTTTTAAACATAATTTATTTTTTCAAGGTATTGTTAACATAAAAAGAATTTAAACTATGAGTTGATATTACATGATAGATTTGATAGAAATAATAAGAAAAAATATAATTTTATTTGAGAAATATTTTAGATTATATTTTATTTTAATATTAAGATAGAAATATATTGAATCGTTTTAAATTAACTTAAGTTAATTGGTTAAATTAATGTCTTGAATAATAAAATTATGATGATTCTATAAAAATAAATTAAAATATTTTATGAAACTCAATTGGTTAAATTAATGACTTCAATAATAAAATTGTGATAGCCCTACAAAAATAAATTAAAATAAATTATACAATTTAATTTTCAATAAATTTAATATTAAAAAATAAAATAAAATAAAAACTTAAAAAATGGTTAAGTCATCGAAACTGTAACATGACTCATGAAATTGGAATAAATTTATAAAAAATAAATTAAAATAATATATAAAGTTTAATTTCCAATAAATTTAGGTAAAATTAATATATATATATATATAATTAAAAAAATCTCAATTCTAGTAGAATAAAGCATTGTTAGGTTTTGTTAATAATAATATAAACAAACACAACTCCTGGTGAATTAGTTGCCGAACCCAAGTTAACTTGGATCTAAATAACCAAAATAAACTAAGGGCGGGGAGAATAGCAAAACCCAACCGGCCGGCCGGAAATTGAATATGATCAAACCATGAATGCCCAAATACTAGATGTTGAAGCACTAGATTCCAAACCAACCCGACGCCAGTTTTAGCCGCTTGGCCGTATAGTTTCAATGGATGCGGACTATCCAATAGCAATTAGTGGTGGTCAGGAAGGAAAACTAATCGTTCTGTTAATGGAAAATGGGATTTAAGTTCATACCTCGCCACTGAAGGAGCTTTAATTCGCTAGAACCAACCCAAACACCAACCCAAATTGCAAGTCTTAAGCCATATTTGTTTTTATATTTAAAAAAAAAATTGAAAAAATTTAATTTTTTTCTCAACCTCGAATTAATATTATTTTAGTTTTAGATCATTTTAATATATTTATTTTAAAAATATTTTTTTAATATATTTATATGTAAAAATTACTTTAAAAATCGATCACAGCCGCAAATCCAACAAACCTTAGAGTGTGTTTGGTGTTGCAGTAGATGTTGTGGTTATGATTTGAAAAAAGTTATTAAGAAAAAAATATTGTTCACATCAAGGTGCAAATAAATTTAATTCACTATAAACTAGTTTTTTTAAAATATTAATAAAATTAACACTTAAAAAACATCAATAAAATTAAAGAATATTAATAAAATTAACACTTAAAAAATATTAATTAAATAAACACTTAAAAAAATATAATAAAATTAAATAAACACTTAAAAAAAACTTGTATGAACAATGTAAGTGAATTGCACTATTCACGTGAACAGTGCAATTCGAATAGTGCAGTGAGCATTGTTGATGTTAAATGCATGTTTACTGAACAGTGCAATTAACATGTATAGTGAATGAAAAGTAATATTTATCTGCTTTTTATTAATTGTACTTTAAACAAGGAACTATGCACAATAAATTAATTTTTTTCTTCATCAAACAACTACAAACTACATTTTAAAAACATAGTACCAGCCGCGTAAACAAACGACACCTTATTATAAGTGCGGTAGCGTTCTCGGGCCTAACCCTGTTTTGTAGACTTCCCACACCACACCTTATTATAAGTGCGGTAGCGTTCCCGGGCCTAACCCTGTTTTGTAGACTTCCCAAACCTATGGTTTGTTTGTTAATAAAAATTATTTCCGTTTTTTATTTCTAGCTTTCGTTCTTTTAGTTTTCTTTTTTTAACGAGAAACTAAAAGGATAAAAAGAAAACATGTTCAGTTAGAAACGGGAAAGAATTTCATTAAAAAAATGACGATTACATTCAAATTAAAAATTATATTGTTAACTAAAAAATCTTCATATAAAATTTAGAATAAAAATTAAATTTATAACACTAACTAAATATAAAAATGTAAAAAAAATAATTTAAATATTTTACACTGTAAAAAGAAGCTTGTATATATAAAAAAATGTATATATTGCTCATTTTTTTATTTGAAAACAGCTATAAACTTGCAATAAAAAACTATGAAAAATCTCAAAAATGAGTGTTTCAACCTCATTACAAATTTGAAAAACTAACAAAATAGTTTTAAACTATTATATCTAAACAAAAAACTCAAGTTTTCCTTTTTTTAATTCATTTTTTTTGAAAAATTTGATCATTACTCCAGAGCACATTCAAAGAAAGCAGTACAGATTGGAACCGCCCACCATCCAGTCTTGGTGCCACTAAGAAATAAAAATTATTATGGAAAAAACCTTAGCTTGAGAGGATATTCAAGCAAATCATTGTTTTTTGGATATAATATGCACAGAAAAGCCAACAAAGGCAAAAATAAAATGATACTCACATTTGCTACAATAATGATGATATGTACAAAGACTGCACCCTTCCCAATTCTCACAGCAATTGCTCTCACAAAATAAGTTACAAGTTACAACCCTCCCCGAGAAAATATAAGCGGAGGCAAATGCTTGCAATGTTGAACAACTTGGCATCAGGAATTTATTTTCTCCACAACAGACAATAACAAAATAGCAATCCAAGCTGTTCGCTCTGTGATGCTGAATCTTCTGAGCAGTGAATCTGAGGATTGCTGTGTTCATACCATGACCATAAAAATCCAAGCCCACATCCCGCCCAGTGCTTCAAATTCAATTCTGTGACAACAAGCATGCAGGCTTTTGATCTACAAGTCATGAATTGATGGTTGCCGCATGTCAAACAGTGTCCCTGAATATGTCCTCCAACTTCGAGTAAGCAATGTGAAATAAAGATCCCATTTGCTTCATCCTGGATATGACTGTTTCCAAGAGCAAACTTACCAAATGAGTAGGCGAAATTGACGGAATGGTTAAGAAAAAGAAGAGAGTCAAGCTAAAAAGAATAATCTCACACGCAGATTCAAGTCCAATGGAGCATGGAGAAATTAAAATTACTATTGAGAATGATGATTACAGGTCAGCCAAAATTATTTTGGAAAACTTCCTAAATACAAGTTTCATGACAAATAACTATCCTAAAATCTGTTGCCAGTCCAGTCAGGTCATGCAACAATGATCATAGCACCAATTTGAAAGTGTAAGATCTTGGGTCAAACT